GATGTGAGTTGGAGGATTTGGAGACGTGCTGGGGTGCAAACAGGGCGTGCACTGTGGCAGTGGCTGCACTGACAGAAGGGCTGGGAATGTGCCAGGTGGGCCCTGGCCCTGACCTGGACGTGCCAAAGCCCGCATCCACAGATTCCCAAAATGTGGTGGGACTCCCAGAGGGAGAGGGGCAGACTCTGAGCAGCAGCAGATGCTGGGGGCAGGAGAGGGACAGCACACTGTTCAGCCAGATTTTGAAGGTCACATTTTCCTTTCAAGCTGCAGTTTTCAGCCCTGGAAAGCTTTGACAGGCTTTGAGGTTCATGGGGATTTGTGTGCCCATTCTCTTTGGAAAGCCCCCCTGTTCCCATTCAGCTCCCTGCATTGTGGGGCAGACAGCAGGGAAAGGCAGTGCTTGGGATTATTTGGAAGCTGATACTGAGATTAATGACACATAATTAGGTAAAAAGCTCAAGATGTGTTTTGAGGCAAGTTTTGTTACGAGGAGAGTGTTCATTTAGAGCATGGAATTAGCTGGGATAAGCAGGGAAAGCCTCACTGTAACACTTGGATCCAGCCAGAGCTTGGGGAGGATGATTTAATGAGGAGCACTTAATGCAGAGGGATGGACAGGATGATAACTTCCAGTTATCATCTCAGAGTTCAGTTGGGGAGCAAGAAACAGGTCCTGCAGTCAGGGATTTTGAACGGGGCAATAAAGGAGTGGTGAAACATCAACAATATTTATGTAAGTACATTTCTGATACAAAAGGAGAAGATAAATACCTTATTTAAGGTTTTGTTCCGAGTATAAAATAGCCCATAAACGGGAATTTAAAGAGAGTTCAGTGATGCAGTTTAATACACAAAACACATGAAGGATTAAAGAGGTTGTTTGTACAAACACTTCATTGATCCACTTAAAATTTATATGTCTGATAAATGGCAGCTGGGCTGTGAACATTGACTACACATGTGGCACTAAGGAGCTTTATACTGGGCCATAAAATGTTGAAACAAGCTTAATAATGGCTTTTACCATCAGATCCCTCTGGGGATAAGTCGTTCTGGAAAGTGGCAGACCCTGAAGGTTTGCATCTCTTGACAGGGGTGATGTACTGCTCTGTTAAAAATCCTGGTACTTTTAAACCATGAACCCCATTTTTGCCACTTTACAAACACTTTTTATTGCATTCCTTTGTTTTTAAAACATTTGACTTGCCAGAAATAGTCCTTAGATCAGAATTAATTATTGGTGTAAAGCTGCCATGGGCTTTTAAGGAATTCCTCACCTGCAGCTCTTAACCGTGACCATATTCCTGAGTGCTTGTGCCAGCAAAAGTTGTATTTGTTTTTCCCTGGTATAGTAACAAGAAACACCAAACATTGAAACACCAGTGCCCCGCTGGAGCTTGACCTGTGGTACAGTCAGGGCTCAGAATTGTGCTTTGTTTTGACATCCCATCACATTGTGCAAGAGCAGTTGCATCCAGCTGAGAAAACGGAAATAAAAGCACTTTTCATACAGAGGCCACCTCATTCCTTTAGGCTCAGCCTGATCCCCTTGTTGGGAATCCACTAGCAAAAAAAAACCCTGAACAGACAAAAAACCCCACCCAAACACATCCTAAAGTAAAACATGATCTCTGCAAGGAAGGGAGATGGGATATGTCGTTTGATGGAAGCAGGGAATGGTTAGGGAGGGTCAGCATTTTATTAGGCGGGGTCTTCAAATGTTTTCCTTGAGTTATGTTGGTGTTGATTTTTGTAATATTAATTATCTCTCATCTGTTATGAGCAAAGCAGCTCACTGTGAAGGGTCAGGGTGCTGGAGTCCTGTAAGAGCTGAAAATGTGGAGGTGACAGGGAGGGGGAAATCAGTGTGGGTCTCTGTAGTAATGGGCTGGATTCTGCAGATACACAGGAGGATTGAATTATGGTCACCCAGGCAACATCAATCCTGCCTTTCCCTAAGTTTGGAGTTACTTGCTTTGTAACCTTTATTTTTTATTTTATTTTTCCTTGGAAGAAGTCAGTTTGGCTGTCACATTTCAGCATGGAGAGATGATGACACTGTTTTGATGTTACATATTTTAATTTTTCCCAGGTAATGTGTCACTTAGTGGAGTTTGTTTTGGGATTTTGTTGTTTTGTCTTCTAAAGGCTGTAGTTTGCTTTGCCAGCATTCCTTCCTCGGGCTTCTGAAACGTGATATGTCGAAAGAGGGATTGATTTTGAAGGGAAAATTGATTGCTGAAGTAGTTGCTAAGTAAAGGAGTTTGTGGTGCTACATTTGGGAGCAGCAAGATGAAAGCTGAGGGAAAACAAGTTGCAAAATTTCCTGCTGAGGAGTTTGTGCTGAGATTTAATTCTTCTGATGGGGAGCACTGATGCTTTCTGAGCTCCTCGTTCATTGCCGTGCAGCTTTCCAAACCGCTCTGTGCTGTGGGGGAGTTCAGCTTTCTCCTTTACCCTTTCCTTTACAAGCTTGGCGTGATTATTATCCCCTATCAGCTTGCTGAGAGGAGCAGGATGCTGCTCCCATCCCTGCTCCTCGTGGCACAGCCCGGAGCTCGGGGAGCGGCGATGGCAGCGCTCGGCGCCGAACCCGCGGAGCTCCCCCGGCGCTGCCGCTTTAAGAGCTCGGGCGGGGATGGGCAGGGAGAGCTCCGGAGCCAGCCCGGCGTGGCACGGAGGGGATGATGAGGCTGTGAGTGAGGGAATGATGTGGCTGTGAGGGGATGCAGCCATGGGCTTCGCTGATCGATGCAGGGAGAGGACACGGCGCTGAACCGGCTCACGGGCAGAGCTCTCTGGGATTTCACTGCCAGAGCTCTCTGGGATTTCACTGCCAGAGCTCTCTGGATCTCACTGACAGAGCTGCAGAGCTCTCCGAAATCTCCCTGACAGAGCTCTCCGAAATCTCCCTGACAGAGCTCCCTGGATCTTACTGCCAGAGCTCTCTGGGATCTCACTGCCACACCTCACTGACAGGGCTCTCCAGGATCTCCCTGCCAGAGCTCCCTGGATCTCTCTGCCAGAGCTCTCCAGAATCTCTCTGACAGGACTCTCCAGGATCTCACTGCCAATGTTCTCTGGTATCTCACTGCCAGAGCTTTCCAGGAAATCCCTGACAAGGCTCTCTGGGATCTCACTGCTGGAGCTCCCTGGATCTCCCTGACAAAGCTCTTCAGGATCTCACGGTCAGAGCTCTCTGGAATCTCATCGATAGAGCTCTCTCCAGGATCTCCCTGCCAGAGCTCTCTCCAGGATCTCCCTGACAAGGCTCACTGGATCTCTCTGGAAGAGCTCTGCAGGATCTCCCTGCCAGAGCTCTCTGGATCTCCCTGCCAGAGCTCTCTGGGATCTCTCTGGATCTCCCTGCCGGAGCTGTCTGGGATCTCCCTGGATCACACTGCAGGAGCTCTCTGGGATCTCTCTGCCAGAGCTCCCTGGGTCTCATTGATAGAGCTCTCTGGGATCTCCCTGGATCTCACTGCCTGAGCTCTCCAGGATCTCACTGCCAGAGTTCCCAGGATCTCCCTGCTGGAGCTCCCTGCCAGGTAGGACTGAGCGCGCCCTACAAAAGGCTTGGCCCTGCAAGTGGAGAATGGTGGAGCTGGGAAGGATGGGGTTTCCAGCTGCTGTGACTGGCAGAGCTTTTCCCTTTGAACCTTTTCAGAGCCTTGATTACCCAGCTGGTTCAATGAAGTGTTGCTGCTGTTGGGATGTTCACCTCCTGCATTTTAATTGTATGGGGAATAGAGAAGAGGCTGCAGAGGAGAAACACACTCCTGGAAAGCTCGCTGCTGTCACATCCATGCATGCTTGGGTTTTATAGATTCCTTGCTCCAAAAAGCTGAAGGAAATGCTCAGATTCTTTGTGGTTTCTTGCCCTTCTGTAATCTTGCTTGACAGTTTTTCCTTGAGATTTTTAATGCACAGTTTCAGTACAAGTGGGGATACGTGTGGGGATTACATAACCCTGGGGAAATCAGTGGGAGACTGGCTCCATTTCTGGGCAGGGATGAAAATCAGGAGTTCTGGAATGGTTTGTGTAAGGTGTTTGCATAGGTGCCTGTGAGTACTGTGGGTGTTTCTATTCCTGGGAAGAGGTGCTTCCTCAGCTGTGAGCTGGAAGGGGAAGAGAGGTCACTGGTGCTTGGGGTAAAATGGTTGCTAGTTGCTGAAATGAGCTTAGGTGAAAAGCACCATTTGAGAGAAAATGAATCCATTTTGGGAGCAAATGGAATAATGTTCTCTCTGCCTTCCTGCAATCTCGGTGGAGCAGAGCAAGCTGTACAAATTCCTGCTGGTTTTGGTCTGTAACAGCACAGAAATCTCGCAGAATCACAGTTCTGTAGTGTGATTGGAACAAGCAGAGAAATGTGATAGAAGGAGGAGATTTCTGCAAGGAATTCCTGCTGACTGTCATTTCACTCAGCATTTGGCAGTGTCCCTGATTGCTCCAGCAGCTCCAGGCTGGATTTTTTTTCCTTAATCACTTTACAGAGCAGTCACATATTCCCCTCTCCTCAGAGTGTGGCTGTGGCTGTCTAATTAACAGAGATCCTCCTCTTTTTAGGGAGATTTTTGGTTTCCAGAAAAATTCTGTGTGGTTTCCAGCCAGCATTCCTTCTCCCACTGGGTCTCTAATAGCTCCTGAAATTCCCCAGCTTGTAATCACTGCTGCAGCCAGATGGGGACTAGGTGGAACACCCATTGCATCTGTGCCTGCATTTATGAATCTGCCAGAAGTATCTCACTTAGGTGAGATTTTAGATCTATATTTCATGAGTTAATGAGCCCTGCACAGCGATGAGGAGGATCCAGTGCTGGTACTGTCAGGGTTTCCATCCCTCTCCAGATCCTGGAGTGGTGCTGATGGAGCAGGGAGAGCTCTGAGGACTCATTCAGCCTGACACCAGCAGAGCAGAGGCTGCAGCTCCACTTTACCAGCTGATGGTGCTTTAAGAGGTTCTTGGATTTAACAGGCTCTCCTTGCTCCTGCTTTTCTGCTTCATTGCTCTCCTCGTCTCTTCTCCCTGTGGAAGGAGCTGTGAAAACTGTGTGAGGTTTGGATTTTCTTTGCTTTTCCTCCACTCCCTCTCCCTTCCCACCTTCCTGGGTGATTTTGGAGCAGAGTTGCCCAAATCAGTGTTGTGGGTGGCAGGATATAGGGGAGGAGGAGGGGGAGGAAGGGCACAGGATGCTCCTGAATTGGATCTCAGCACAGCAGGGTAGTAACACAAAGAGCTGCCTGAATTACTCAGGGCTGTTCTGGTGCTCCTGGCTGTGCTGAATCCAGCACTGCAGCAAGGCTGGGCTCTCCCTCCTGCACTCACCTGCCTGTGCTGGGGCAGCCTGAGGGCAGCAATCCCAAGGCTTGTGCTGCATTTTGGGATGTGCAGCCCCAGTGACACCAAATTCTGTGTGTGAGAGCAGATGAGTGAGTGCCCTGGGGGTGCTGTGGGTGTGGATGTAATGATGCTGCTGGATGAGGTTCTGCTTCCCACCTGACCTGTTCACCTCCCTTGCTGGAGTATCCATGCTGTCACTTAGCCCTTTCCTGGAGGAGCCTCATCAGCACAAGTTGTGATGAGCTTTGCTGTCACCCTGGCTCACTTCTCCCCCAGCAACAGCAGCTGTGATCCCAGGACAGGCTCCTTTGGCAGGAGGGAGAGGGAAGGGGTGATTTCCACTGGGGAGCAGGAACAAGCTCCAAGAGCCTTTCCACTTGCCCAGCTCCTTTCAGGGAAGCTGGAATCCCTCCATTGGTCCAGCTCCTCTCAGGGAAGCAGGAGCCTTTCCACTTGCCCAGCTTCTTGCAGAGAGTCAGTCTGTGGATGCCACAAGTAAAATGCTGGAAGTAATCACTTTCTCCAACCATTATTTCATTAAAGCTTACTGGAATTGGAGGCATTTGTTCCTATCAGTCCTGTGTCCAGGTCAAATCCTTTTGCAAAAAGGGCTTAAAAGGTTTCTTCTGGATCTGATGAGAATCATCCCTTCCTAGGTGTGATCTTAAACATTGACTCCAAACTCTGCAAATCCATCCAAACTGCTCCTTCCTTCAGGCAGCTCTTCCTGGGTGCAAAAAGAGCAGTTGCTCTGCTCAAAGGAGATTATTTCCTCCTGACTTATATAAGTTCTAAAATAAGAAAATAAATCCCAACCTTGTCAGGGATGAAACCATTTTTCCAAACTCAGGAATGATCCCTTTTGAAGCAGAGATTGCTTCAGTGAATTGTCAGGAGTGCCTGGAGAAGGGAAATCTCAGCTGTGACACAAGGGGGGCAGCTCCATCCCGGGCCTTGGGCTGTCATCCCTGTCATAGGGATGTTCTGGGGGAGAGGGACAGCAGGAAATTTGAGTTTTCATTCCATCTTCCAGTGTGGTTTAATCCTTCTGTCCCAGATTTTCGCTTTTTTGTTGTTGTTTTCCAAAGATTGGGGGTGAATGCAAGATCCTTGGTATGAAGGCTGGGAGTGACTCTGTTGAAGTTTGTGACAAATCTTGCTGTTGTTTGGGTTTTAAATCCCATTTGGTTGTTTAAAACCTCTCTGTTTATCAAATGACACCACTTGGGCCTGAGCTGGTAAGTGCAGATGAGCTTTAGACCCTGCTAATGAATTCTTGCCATCATTAAAAAAAGGCAAAAAGAGCTGTAGGGTGAATGAGCAGCCTGGGCACCAGAGGGACCAGATCCTGTTGCTGGTTCTGCTGCCCCGGAGGTGGCCCTGGCTGTCCCCTGTCACCTGCCACAGTGACAGCCCAGGGCCTCCCTGCTGAGGTGTTGTGAAGGTCAGGGCTGGGCTCTTCCCAGCATAATGCCATCAAGCAGCTTTTTATTGTCTTTGGTGCTCAGACACTGAATCTGTAACAAAACTGATGAGTTTTAGAGTGATTTCTGAGCCTGTTTGGTGAGGAGGAGCTTTTTAGTGATGAGTTCAGAGCAGAGCAAGGCTGTAAATTTAACTCTGTCTGTGTGTCTGGTGCTGTAAATTTGCCTCAGTGCTGCTGGAGGAGGGGCTGATCCACTTGACATGTGCTGTGGGCAGGTGCAGAGCAGGTTGTGTCTGAACAGTCCTTACTTCAGCCTTAACATTTGGTCCATTTTTAGGGGAATAGTTGGGTTGTGGAGCTTGGGGTGGCTGTTGAGTTGCGTCAGCACCAACAGGGTCTGTCCTGTCACTGAGGTCCCTGCAAAGCTTTGGGCAGCAGCTTTTATCTGGGGATCAAACTTGGGGTGCAAAGAGTCTCTTGAAATCTTGACTCAAACTAATTTTGGCTCAGAATATAATTTAGTAATGTGTTTTTCCATGTTAGAATAAAATTAAGAAGCGTTTTAATGACTCTATTTTCTTTTTAAGTCTGTTAACATGTGATGTCTCTGTCCTTCCATATGTACAAGAACCTCGGTCAGTCCAGCTGTTCTCATTTCCCATGAAATTTTGGTGTGTAAAATATAAACAGCAAAAAGGTGAAATCTGATTTTGGCATTTGGGAAAACTTTTCAGCAAGTGCCTTTTCATGACAGTGGGCATTGTCTGGATCTGTGTGAGGTGTTACCCAAGTCAGGCTTTTTCATTCTTTTGGATCCCTGCATCTCCATTTTATTCAATAAATAAACCGGATTCTGTTGTGGGGTTTTTTTGTGCATAGGTTTTTTCCCTTTTTTTTTTTTTTTTCCCTGCCTTTACAATTAAGAAAACTCTTGCAATTTGCTTTTAAGTCACCCTGCAGCAGCTCCTGGAAACCTCCCATCCCTTTCTTTTGGTGGGTGGATGAGGAAAGGAGTCACTGGGTGAGGAGAGGCAAACAAGGGAACAATTGCAGCAGGATTGCTGCGTGCTTGGCAGAACAGGAGCTGCCATTGTCCACAGTGCCCTGCTGATCTGTGGGGTTTGCTGTGAGTGCTCAGGGCTGGTGGCTCCGGGGCTTTTTCCCTTTCAAACAGAAGCAGAGCTGGGGGGGGGACGCTGTGGACAGGCCCAGGGTTTTGTGGATTATTGGAGTTTGCCCCAAGGTTTTGTGGATTATTGGAGTTTGCCCCAAGGTTTTGTGGATTATTGGAGTTTGCCCCAGGGTTTTGTGGATTATTGGAGTTTGCCCCAAGGTTTTGTGGATTATTGGAGTTTGCCCCAGGGTTTTGTGGATTATTGCAGTTTGCCCCAGGGTTTTGTGGATTATTGGAGTTTGCCCCAAGGTTTTGTGGAGTATTGCAGTTTGCCCCAGGGTTTTGTGGATTATTGGAGTTTGCCCCAAGGTTTTGTGGATTATTGGAGTTTGCGTTGCTTCCCTCGTTGCCAGGGTGGGACAGCTGCCCCTGGAGCCTGGCACATCCCGAGGGGCTGGAGCTGCCAGGCTGTGCCCCCAGGGTGGGGTGTCCCTGGAGGGGTCCCCTGCCTGCCACGCTGCTTTCCTTGACTGGCTGTGTTGCAGAATCCCCCGAGGTCCTGTCCAGCAGCCCCTGGAGGATCGGATCTTCACTCCGACCGTCTCGGCTGTGTACAGCACTGTGAGTACCCAGGGGCTGGGCAGGGTGGGCTCAGGGCTGGGCACAACCCCAGGGCAGCCAGAAATCAGGCACCAGAGAAAATACAGCTTCCTCTGCCCCTGAAATAAATGGAGCTCAAATTTGGTGGCATGTGGGTAGGAAAAGAAAGGGGGGATTTGTGGCTCTCCACAGTGCAGCCAGGGGGAAGTCGGACCCTGCTCCCAGGGAACAAGGACAGGACAAGGGGACACAGCCTCAAGTTGTGCCATGGGAACCTCCCACACTGGATGTTGGGAAAATCTCTTTGCTGAAAGCGTGCTCAGACATTGGCACAGGCTGCCCAGGGCAATGGTGGGGTCACATCCCTTAGAGGGCTCAAAAGATGGGTGGATGTGGCACCTGTGGGCATTGGGATATTGGGGGAACGTTGGGCTTGATCTTGGAGGTCTTTTCCAGCCTTAATAATTCTGTCATTTATTTTAGTTGCATAGGAGCAAGAAAGGAAGAAATCTTTGAAAGACTTGTGGGTCCATTGCTGTTTGTGTCTAATTTTATTCAGTATATTGGAGAGTGGGTTTTCCCACTCTCCCATTAGGAGAGTGTCACTGGAATGACAGTTTTGGCCATATTTTCATTTGGGTGACTCCATCTCTTTCCTTTCCCATGCATCTCACAGTCTGATTATTTTTTTGTGTACTAGTGGCTTCACATTTCTAACACCTTCTTATGAGAAAAATAATCAAGAAAGATTTGTTTTCACGTGAAAAATTCCATTGCACAGAGGAAGAAATATTTTGATAGTAAATAGAATATTTGGGATAGGTGCCTTTGGCTCGCTGTCCTAGATGATTGCTAATGTATAATATTGATTATTGTAGAAATTTAGCTTAGAAACAGTTATTTTGTGAACATGATGATCTTTTCCTTTTATCTATTTCTTTTTTTCCAATGGCAATAGCTGGAAGCCCAGGGTTATAAATAAGCTTTGCTTAATCAGCACAGCCCTGGGAAAGTCATATTTTGCTTTTCTGGTTGGGATAGTGCAAATATTTTTAATGCCAAAAAACCCTGCTTTTAAGCTGCTCTTTTAATTATTTGGAAAACAGGAAGAAAAGCTGTAGATGGGATAAATTCACCACGTTTTATACAGAAACATAAGCTGCTTATAGAAAAACATAAGCTGCTGTGCAAGGTTTTCTCCTTCTCTGTTTGCAGGAGTGACTGGGGATGGGGTTCTTGGCTTGGGCACCTGGGGTTGGAGCTGTGGCTGCCCCTGGACCCCTGGCAGTGCCCAAGGCCAGGCTGGGCAGGGTTTGGAGCACCCTGGGACAGTGGGAGGTGTCCCTGCCATGGCAGGGGTGGAACAGCATGAGGAAAATTCAAGTCCCTCCCAATCCAAACCTTTTTATGATGGTTCAGTGATAGTGATGATATATTCTTGCCATCATTAAAAAAAGGCAAAAAGAGCTGTAGGGTGAATGAGCAGCCTGGGCACCAGAGGGACCAGATCCTGTTGCTGGTTCTGCTGCCCCGGAGGTGGCCCTGGCTGTCCCCTGTCACCTGCCACAGTGACAGCCCAGGGCCTCCCTGCTGAGGTGTTGTGAAGGTCAGGGCTGGGCTCTTCCCAGCATAATGCCATCAAGCAGCTTTTTATTGTCTTTGGTGCTCAGACACTGAATCTGTAACAAAACTGAGAAGTTTTGTTACAGATTTTTTGGGTTGTGGAGGAGTTCTGTGCTGCCTCCTCTGCTGGGGCTGTTGGGGGTGCTGAGCTGGGCTCTGGGCAGGATTAAGGGTAAAAGTGCTGCCATTGGTCTGGAAAGGCAGCAGCTGAGGTGGCTGTAGGGGCACAGGGACTCAGGGGTGGCCATGGGGGCTCTGGTGGCCGTGGATTCCCCTCCAGGGGAGTTGGGATGGATGGGACACAGCTCACAAGGGTTGAAGGTTCTGAGGTTTGAGGCGTTGACAGCTGCAGGCTTTGGGCAGCCTCTGTTCCAATACCTGATACAGAACCGTTTGTGTGCAGAAAAGCAAAGCCAAAGGAACAAATTCTGAAGAATCCTTCCCTGTGAGGGTGGGCAGGTCTGGCACAGGTGCCCAGGCTGCCCCTGGATCCCTGGCAGTGCCCAAGGCCAGGCTGGGCAGGGTTTGGAGCACCCTGGGACAGTGGAAGGTGTCCCTGCCATGGCAGGGGTGGAAAAGGATGAGGAGGATTCACGTCCCTCCCAAGCCAAACCATTCCATGATGGTTCAGTGATAATGATGATATTTAGCCCTTCCCTTTTTTGGGTTCTTCAGGAGTTTTGTGCTGCCTCCTCTGCTGGGGCTGTCAGGGGTGCTAAACTGAGCTCTGGGCAGGATTAGGGTAACAGTGCTGCCATTGGTCTGGAAATGCAGCAGCTCAGGTGGCTGTAGGGGCAGAAGGACTCAGGGGTGTTTATTTGTGAACATTTCAAGGGTCTGGTGGCCATGGATTCCCATCCAGGGGAGGTGGAATGGATGTGATACAGCTCACAAGGGTTGAAGATTCTGAGGTTTGAGGTTTTGACAGCAGTGAATCCACAAACCCCAGCTGCAGCCTTTGGGCAGCCTCTGTTCCAATACCTGATACAGAAATGTTTGTGTGCAGAAAAGCAAAACCACAGGAACAAATTCTGAAGAATCCTTCCCTGGCAGGGTGGGCAGCCCTGGCACAGGTGTGGCTGCCCCTGGATCCCTGGCAGTGCCCAAGGCCAGGTTGGGCAGGGCTGGGACCAGCCTGGACAGTTTAAGGTGTCCCTGCCATGGAACAAGATGAACTTTTAGAGTCCCTTCCAACCCAAACCATTCTGTGAACATAAATGTACAAACACTTCTAATAAATAATTCAGTTTGTATTATCTTTTATATACCCCATACAACACTTAAAAAACACTTTAAAAATATCTGAAGTCCTTTAAAGAAGGTTATTTTTTTCATTTCTTTCCTCCCAAGATATAATGCAGATGCCTGTGGGGAAAATATGACTGTAGAAATTTAAATTAATGTAAAATAGAAAAGTAACTGTGAAGAATGACCTAAAATAGCTTTTTAGTGTGGAAAAATATCACTCCTTGCTATGTTACAGGAATAGAAGGCAGGGCTGGAAATATCTCAGTTCCAGCATCTGAGAATGCAAAAGTTTGAGAGAAAATTTCATGTTTTGGGGAAAGGAGAGAAATTTCTCGGCTGGGTTCTTTTCAGGCTTCCATTTGAAGCCCCAGGCAGATTTCAGATTCAGAGGGAGTCCAGGGAAAAATGAATTGGGGTGGAAAAAACACATGATGGGAGTGCCTTGACAAATTCATTCATGAAAGGTCTCAGTGGTTTGTTACACAAGGAGCAGCACCATGTGTTTGAGGCCTGGCTTTGCATTAAACACATTTTGAAGAGCACTGTGAGATCACAGAATCTTGAAGGTTGGAAAAAGCCTCCAAGATCTTCAAGTGCATCCTCAGTACCCAGGGGCTGCTTTTTCCCATCAGTGTTTTATTTGCTGGCACATCCTCTGTGGGATTCCACGTGGATTATGGATCATCACTCCCAGAGATATTTTTCCAGATGGTGTGGGAAGAGTTTTGGGGTCCAGAAGCACCACGTGGTGACTCTGAGCTGCCCCCAAGTTGTTCCCCTACACTGTGTGTGGGGTGGGAGCAGAAATCACTTGAGATATGAACAACCCACAGATGAACCCCCAGTTTTAGTTAGATAAAGAAAAAAAATAATTCAATTATCCTTTCTATGCCTTTCCACATGCATTATCAGGACCTTGGTTGCACATTTCAGAGCTCTTTTTTTCCCCCACAGCTACAAAAATGGGAATGGAAAATCATGTGGCTTCCAGTATGAACCCCAGTAATAAAACTAAATCATGTGGCTTCCACTATGAGCCCCAATAATAAAACTAAATCATGGGGCTTCCACTGTGAGCTCCAATAATAAAACTAAATCATGGGGCTTCCACTGTGAGCCCCAATATTAAAACTAAATCTGAGGAACAAATTTTCCTGTAGGACAGAGGTAGGAGGTGAGGAAGAGGCCAAGTGGGATGAAGTTTGTCTGAGAACTTGGAGGTGCTCAAACTTCACAACAAGGCTTTGGTAGAACCTCTTTATCAAGGAAATCATGCTGGTATTAAAACCAAACCCACCTAAGTTCATCATAAGTAATTTTTATTTATTTATTGTGATATGTTATACTGAGTGGGTTGTTGGTTTGGGTTTTTTAATAAATAAATCCAGCAGTAAAATTATATGAAAGCAAACCACAGTTGAAAATAATTTCCATGAACTAACCTTGTAATAATTTCCCTCATCAATAGTGGAGAATCCTCTATTGCAGAGCTGCTTTTGGACATAAAGGTTTGGGGTTGTCCTGTAAACTGCTTCTTGCCTGCTTTTTCCAAATCCTCCACACTGCCAGAAATGAGGGTGGTTACTTGTGTGGCCTCTGAAAGATCCAAAACCTGCAGAGTTTAGAAGGGGCATAAGAGTGAAATCCTGTTTTTGTTGTAAATTATTTCGAAGAAATATCTTCAAGAGAGTTTTTTGGAAAAGTGTAGACCTCTAACAGGAAGGGAACTGCACAAAAGGTGAATGTAAATCCCACCAGGCACCCCTGTCCTGTGCCCAGGGGAATGGGGCTGGATCTGTGGGAAATGAGATTAAGGAGCAGAAGCAGAAATGCTCTTCAGATTCAGCACAAGGAACTGGATAAGAAGAATAATGGTGCTCATGGACATCCTGTCTTGGCACAAATAACTGGTTTTGGCAGGTCATGGTGGAGGTTTGTAACTGCTTTGGTAGCATGTTGTGATTGGAAGTGCTGAAGCTTGGACCAAAACTACTCTGGGATAAACTCTCATGAGCTGAGGAGCAGCACTGAGGCTGCCTGCAGTGGAAGGTGCTCCTGCCCATGGAATAATGGGATGAGTTAAAGGTCCCTTCCAACCCAAACCATTCTGTGCTTCTGTGAATGACTTGTGCATGAGAACTGACTGGGAGTGAGTGTCAACAACACAAGGTGTGTTTGTGTGGGGAGCAGTCACCTGGCCAGGTGCAGCCTGGAGCAGGGCCCAGCACTCATTGAAGGCATCCATTAGTGGCTGTCCTCATGTGCCTTTGGAGCAGGGTCCTGTCCTGTCAGGGTGCCCAGCTCACTCCAGCTGGGGGCTGAGAAGGCAATGGGGCTGTGAGGTGCTGGAGAGCCCCTGTTGGGGAAGATGAAACAGGAAAGCTTTATAAATATGATTGCCTGGAAAAGATTTTGAGAATAAAGAAACTATAAGTGAGATTGAAATGAAAGCAAACTTTGAGATCCCTTAGTTATTGAACAATTAGAAAACAATGGTGTGGCTGGCTGAAGGTAATCCCCTTTTGATGAAACAATTCCCTCTGCTTGCAGACAGGTCCAAGGGTCAGAGCAGACCCCACAGCTTGGCAGAAGGGGCCCAAAGAGGAGTTTTTAGAGTTTAAAATATAACACAGTATGGTAATGCAATGACTCTTATAGGCTGTATGGAAATGCTATAGAATTTGTATATTGTACTAGATTGGTTAGTGAGAATTAGAATATTCAACACAGAAGAAGATTTATGGTATTGGAATGGGAACTCTCGTATGCTTTTGCTCTCTTACCCTCTCATCCTCTCTCCCCCTCTCTTCTCTCAGCCTGCTCTGAGCTGTGTTTGGCAGCTCCCAGCAGGGCCCTGCATTTGGCCCTTTGCAATAAACCCCAAGTTCCTGACCTGGCTGCAGAGATCTCTCATCTCCATCTGTCCCAACTGTCCTATCCCCTGACCCTCCTTGTCCCAGATTTTCAAGGACTAAGGGTTGACTCCCATTGGCTCTCGGGGTATTTGGTTGTTTCTGTCCTGGAGCACCCCTTGGTCCCCCAGAGTGTTTCACAGCCAGCAGAGGTTCCATGGTTCGTGTCCTTTGAAGGGATCTTCCTGCAGTGAAGAGAATCCTGTAGAAAAGGGATTAGGGGGGATTAGCTGCTGCAGCCTCCCTGTGCTCAAAGGAAGGATCTGGGTCAGGAGGCCGAGGCTGTGGATGTGCAGGAGGGGAAGCTCAGTGCCTCATCCTGCTCCTGCCTGGAATCATGGAATGGTTTGGGTTGGAAAGGTCCTTAAAGCCCATCCAGTGCCACCCCTGCCATGGCAGGGACACCTTCCACTATCCCAGGGTGCTCCAAGCCCTGTCCAGCCTGGCCTTGGGCACTTCAGAGATGGGGCAGCCACAGGGAAACCAGGGTAAAGAGTAATCCCAAACTTGTATGAGATGCTAAACCCAAAAGGTGTAAAAAAAGCTCAGAAAGAAAAGAAGAATTCCAGACTGAGTTTTTATTTTGTATTTCATTACCTTTTTCCTTTAAAATACAGGATTAAGGCTTCTGGAAAACTAAAATTAGCTCTTGCTACTCAGGGAAAATAGAAGGTGATGCCCTAACAAATGAATATGTAATTTTGAACATCCATTTTTAGGAGAACAACTTAACCTATAGATTTAAGGAGGATATTTGCTTCCATAGTAATCTCAGACCATTAAGAAGCAGCAAACCACACCCTGGGCCCTATGGGGGCAGATACCCCAGGAGTGATGAGCTTAGACACCCTCTACCTTTTACCTTTGTTAAAAATTACTGAAGAAAACACACAAATTCAGCAAGTTTGTTTTCCTTTACTACCTGTTTACATGAAAATCAGTGTCTCATAATTCAGTTTATTTGTAAATAATTTGTTGCAGGAAGAGGAAGGTATGGAAACACCAACATTGTGCTGATGTTTCCATACCTTCCATACCATTGAGCTGCTGAGAAAGGCTTCTCTGTGCTTTTCTCTGCTGGAACAAACACCAGTCCTTGGTTTGGGTGCACTGAGCTAGACTTGGCTAAACTTAGGAGGTCCTGGAATATCAGTGGTGGGCTCCTACAGGATACTCTCCAAGTGAGCTGTTGCCAAACCATCAAACTGGTACAATTTTATAATTGTTCTGCTGCCTTCATTAGGCTTTGAAGCCAATTTTAGTGGGTGCAAACCTGTGTCTGTCATGTGTCTGCTGCCCTGCATGAAGGTATCTCATGGACTCATTCAAGCAGCTGCAGTTTTCTTCTCAGTTCAGCTTCCAGATTTCAGATTTCAGATTTCAGCTTCCAGATTTGAGATCCAATCATGAGAGCATTTCTTGATGTCTTTCAGTAACTTCCAGCTTAGGTTATTTTCCCCACTGGAGTCACCACCCCTGTAAGTGTTCAGGTGTGGGTATGTGGCACTTAGGAATGTGGTTTAGGGGTGGACCTGGCAGTGCTTATGGATTTATGGTTGAACTAGATTGGATTAGATATTGGAGGGCTTTCCAGCCTTGGTGATTCTGGGATTCTATTCCACAACTCTATTTGCATGTTGTAATTTCTGAGGAGGAGGAGAACTGCTGGGTGCTCACAGTGACCTGGGGTATTGGTAGTGCCCCTGTCCCCATTGGCAAAGCCCTGTGTGGGCTTGGCTGCTGTTGGATCACAGGATTTTGGATAGCTGAGAGCAGGGAGGTGAAAACTGGCAGTGGTTGGAGTCCCACAGCTGTTACAAAATAACCTCTATAACCAAAATAACCAAAGTTTCCCCCTAGAAGTGCCATTGGAGGAGAATGGTGAGGAGCAGGGACACAGCCTGCCACTGGGGCTGTTGATAGGAATTATTTCCCATTATTTCCTTGTGTTTTGGGTTGCCTGTGCTTCCTCCCCCTCCTGGCTGCATTATTTGATTTCCATCACAGCCCAGAGTCCCTCCCCAGCACCGAGTGCTGCATGACTGACACGCCAGCTCTCTCAGGGTTGACACAGGAGTCATGGGACAGACTTTCATTTTCTCAGGGATGGGCTGTGGAAAGTTTTCTGGAGCTCTGTGTGAGGCTGGCTCTGACCCAGCCGGGGCTGCGTGCGCACACCTGCCAAGAGAGATCAGCCCGAAAAAGAGATGATTCATCCCTGGCAAAGGGAAGGATCCAGTTGGGGACACAGGATGAGGTTCTGTGCCTGACCCACCCTTTCCTCTGATGAGCACTCAGGGGCTGTAAATCTTCCCTCAGTGAAGGCTCCTGGCCCCTTCCCAAGCCCTGGAGCTCTTGCATGTTGTGATTTCCTGGGATTTCGGGGCTGGCGCAGCTGCTGTGGTGGTTTAGGAGCTGGAATGACACTCTGGGTGCAATAAAGTGACTTGGAAAAAGCACTTAAGTGGTGAACTCTGTGACTTGTGCTCTCTTGGAGCTAATACTCATTAAAAGAGCCAGGAATTTCCTTCTGCCTGCTTTTACCCTGCTGGGGACATTGATGCACACATTGGGCTGTGCAGTGCCAGTGACCTGTGTGGGCTTCAGGTGCCTTCAGCTCACACTGGGGAATGTTAGATGGGATATTGGGATAAATCCTCCCCTGTGAGGGTGCCCAGAGCAGCTGTGGCTGCCCCTGGATCCCTGGCAGTGCCCAAGGCCAGGCTGGGCAGGGCTGGGAGCAGCCTGGGACAGTGGGAGGTGGCATTGCCCATGCCAGGGGTGGCACTGGATGGATTTAAGGTCCCTTCCAACCCAAACCATTCCATTATTAAGTGGTGCTTTTCAGCAAACAAATAAATGAGAAAAGGTCAATGCTGTATTTCAGTAGCATGCATTTTAACCCAATCTGCCAGAATTTAATTGTGTTGAACAGCTGGAGGTGCCACTCAGTAGTTGTGTGACTCTTTTTTTCCTTTGATTCCCCTTTTTTTTCACTATAGCCACTCTCTAAAATATATTTAAAACAGTTCCATACTGGGGATAGTAAAGTGAGGCATGTATTTGTGTGCCATTAAAACATTTTTCTAATACTTTGCTTAAGGTGTTTTGTTGAGCATTTTTAATAGAAGCTGAGAAAGGAGATAAACATATGCAAGATTTGCTTTGCTGTTTGATTCTTTGCTTGTGGCAAGCCCTGCAGATACCATGGCCTCTCTGCAGTCATTTACTTTTCCTTTTTGGAGGGGAATATGAAAATTTCTCCCTTACTTTGTTGCTGGTAATGTGTATCAAACCAAGACAATCCCCTTGCAAAATCCCAATATTTTTTATATGGCTTGTCATGGAGGGAATAAAGGTTCCAGGCTTAAAGGCAGAGGGATCTCACACATTTCCATCAGTGCAGCTGGTGCTCTGCTTTTTTGATCCTTCCACATTTTCCTGAATCACATAAATAGTTAAATAACTTGTGCAGTGCTTCACTTAGCTAAGTAAATATTATTTTGTCTCTCTAGATATGTACAACGGAGTCTCTGCAGACTGATTACTAATGTAATGTTTTACTAACAGTTTATCTCCACACAGGTAACACAAGTAGCAAGACAACCGGGTCCTCCTGCCCCATCCCCTTACACTGCACATGAAATAAATAAGGGACACCCAAATCTTGCTGCAACGCCACCGGGACATGCATCGTCCCCTGGGCTCTCACAGGTAAGACCTGGCGTTGGAGCAGGGCAGTGCCAGCCTCCCCTCCCCTCCTGTGCCATCCTCAGCTTCTCTGCTCAGCAAAAAACTGATTTATGATGTCTGGGACCAGTGCAGAAACAAAGTGAATAAAGGGTGTGGCTTGAACCTTGCAGTGACCTATCAGCAACACTTAGATTAGCACACCAATACCATCAATTGGTATTTATAAATTAGATTTATATTGGTATAAATATTTATAAACTAAATAAAATTAGTATTTAAATACCAATTTATATTGGTATTTAAGTAATTAATATATAAATTATTATTTATAAATGAAATGCAAGTTTGCAGGCATTACTTGTATTTTCATTTATATTCTGAATATTTTTTTTGTGTAGGCATTAGTTCCACCTAGAGTCTGTAACAGAAACTAAAAACAACTTGAAAAATTAGAGAAAATAACCATGGATGAGGAGAAATGTGTTTTGCTGTTGGATCAGGCAGTTTGGAGCCAGTGACCAATGTAGAGGGTGTGGCTTGAACCTTGCAGTGACCTATCAGCAGTGCTTAGATTAGCACACCAATACCATCAATTGATGTCTATAACTTAAATTTATATTGCTAAATTTATTCTAATTTATTTCTATTTGCATCAATATCAATTTATAAATTAAATTGATATTGGTATGTATAAATTAAATACAGGCATTACTTGTATTTTCATTTATATTCTACATTTTTTTTTTTGTACAGGCATTAGTTCCTCCTAGAATCTGTAACAGAAACTAAAAACAACTTGAAAAATTAGAGAAAATAATAGTGGATGAGGAGGAATGTGTTTTGCTGTTGGATCAGGCAGTGACCAGTGTAGAAGGTGTGGCTTGAACCTTGCAGTGACCTATCAGCAGTGCTTAGATTAGCACACCAATACCATCAATTGGTATCTATAAATTAAATTTATATTGGTAAATTTATACCAATTTATTTTTATTTACATCAATATCAATTTATAAATTAAATTGATATTGGCATTTATAAATTAAATACAGACATTACTTGTGTTTTCATTTATATTCTGTATTTTTTTTTTGTACAGGCATTAGTTCCTCCTAGAGTCTGTAACAGAAACTAAAAACAACTTGAAAAATTAGAGAAAATAATAGTGGATGAGGAGGAATGTGTTTTGCTGTTGGATCAGGCAGTGACCAGTGTAGAAGGTGTGGCTTGAACCTTGCAGTGAGCTATCAGCAGTGCTTAGATTAGCACACCAATACCATCAATTGGTATCTATAACTTAAATTTATATTGGTAAATTTATACCAATTTATTTATATTTATACCAATTTATAAATTAAATTTATATTGGTATTTAAATTGGTATTTATAAATGAAATACAAATTTACAGGCATTACTTGTATTTTCATTTATAGTCTGAATATTTTTTTTGTGTAGGCATTAGTTCCTCCTAGAGTCTGTAAGAGAAACTAAAAACAACTTAAAAAATTAGAGGAAATAATTGTGGATGAGGAGGAATGTGTTTTGCTGTTGGATCAGGCAGTTTGGGGCCAGTGACCAGTGTAGAAGGTGTGGCTTGAACCTTGCAGTGAGTGACCTATCAGCAGGACTTAGATTAGCACACCAATACCATCAATTGGTATTTATAAATTAAATTTATATTGGTAAATTAATACCAATTTATTTATAAATTAAATTTATATTGGTAAATTTATACCAATTTATTTATATTTACACCAATTTATAAATTAAATTTATATTGGTATTTAAATATTTATAAATTAAATTAAAATGGGGTTTAAATACCAATTTATATTGGTATTTAAATAATTAATGTATAAATTATTATTTATAAATGAAATACAAGTTTGCAGGCCTTACTTGTATTTTCATATATATATATATACACACCAATTGGTATTTATAAATTAAATTTATATTGGTAAATTTGTACCAATTTATTTCTATTTCTACCAATTTATAAATTAAATTTATATTGGTATTTAAATTGGTATTTATAAATGAAATACAAATTTACAGGCATTACTTGTATTTTTATTTATAGTCTGAATTTTTTTTCTGTACAGGCATTAGTTCCTCCTAGAATCTGTAACAGAAATGAAAAGCAACTTGAAAAATTAGAGAAAATAATAGTGGATGAGGAGGAATGTGTTTTGCTGTTGGATCAGGCAGTTTGGGGCATGGCCTGACTTCCAGGATAAACACCCTAAAAGTGCCCTGTGTCCTGTCTCTGAGATTTTCCAAGGGAAAATCAAGGTGTTGCAGTTTTGTGCAGGATGGTGCAGTTCTGTAATTCTAAGAAATGGGTCAGGAAAACGAGTTGCACAAATGATTTCTCATAAAAGAGATGAGACAAAGGGCTGGTTACAAAAAAGTCCACAACAGGAGATAAATGGGGGTTCTAATTAGAATGGAGAAATACAGTTTAGTGAGATATGTGGAATAAATTGATCTCTGTGTAGCCTCTATTAGATAAATATTCTGCAGGGCTGACTTGAGAGTGGAGAAGCTTATCTGAAAAAGGAGGGGGCAAAAGAGGCAGGTAATGGGCTGAGAAAAAAGGGAGATAAAAGATACTGGGATGGGGAAAGTGGGATGTGTAAGGAATGAGGTGTGAGCTAGGGGAAAGCCTGGTGTTCCCTCTGCTCTTGATGGATTTATATCACAATATCTTGTGTGGATCAAGCAGGAAGGCCTGAGCAGGTCAGCTCTTAAGGAGAGGGGGTTTGTTCTGAGGAAGAGGAGCAGGATGAGAGGCTGAGGGTGGGTTGGGAATGAGGAGGTGATGGGGAGAGCCTCAGGTGGATCTGAACCCCCAAAACATTGAAGTGCAGCTGCCCTCCCAGAGCAGGAGATGCCTGCAAACATCAGGAAAGGAACATTTCACCTGAATGATGCACACTCCAGATAAAGCACGATGGGGCACAAGCTCAGGTTGTGTTTGGAGTGTGCAGATGCTCATCCTCCATGGCTGGCACATCAGAGGCTGCATTGGTGCTGTTGGGGCTGTTCTTGCCCTCCAGCTGCAGGGTTTGGGAGTAAAGGCTCTGGGCTGAGGGAACAGGGAGGGCACAGAGCAAACCCTCAGGTGCTGCCTGGCTTCTGTCATGGATCAAGACATTCCTTCCTGGTAAACCTCATCAGCACATGGAGCTACTCATGTGGCAGAGGACAGGTGAAGAAGAGAACATTCTGGGCAGCCTCTTTAAATCTATTGTGATCAAGGGATTTCTCTTCTTCCCTTAATATCCTTTAATATTTTCCATGGAGTCAGTGCATCCATAGAGAGTGGGCTCTGTGCCAGATCTCCAGGCAGGTGGATAATGTGAAGAGCCAAAATCCAGGTGTCTGCATTTGGGACACCAGTGAAAGGGGATCAAAGCTTCATAGAATAACCTGTCCCCAGGGACAGTTTTCTGTACCCCTGAACTATTAGAGATTTGGGTAGATTTATATTCTGAATATTTTTCCATGTATCTCACTTAGACCCAGTCAGGAGTTGAGTTTTTGTGTTATGTTATGGTAAGAAATTCCCAAGGTAAAGGGGAGATTTGGGTGGAAGTTTAACCTGTTCATTGCATCTGTGATTTGTCTCCCCTGGGCTTCAAGGAACACCCTGGTGCTTGTGTTAAGAACCAGTTGAATGGAAGTTTCTATTTGCACACCTCTTGTAGTTTGTGAATTTCCATCATGTTTTCATTCATTACTTTCTTTTAGAAAGCGATGAGAGAGTAATTTTTGAGTAATTTTGTCTGATTCTTGGGCACCTTCAATCCTTCTGTTTCCCTTTAGAGATAAAGGGACCCAGGCTGACATGGGATTCAGATGAATGTGTTATTATTAATTCCTTTAACAGCAATAAAGCATAAATAACTGTATTTTACCCACCCATGCTGTGTTGATGATTGAACACTGAACAAAGGTTGTCTTTGCCTTTGTCCAGTCATGCCTAACATAGCAAGAGGGTGTTTGTGCATAAAAGATAAGGACAAGACCACTTTGTTTGAATTAGAGTCTGATTAAGGGTCATTGATTTCTCCATCAGACTCCTGAGTTAATAAATACTCATCAGAGTGAGTCTTTCCAAGGTAGGGACTGCTCCTGAGGCAGTAGTGAGTGACAATACTGCTGAGTGTTTGAGGCTTTGGATGTCACCTGGCACTAAATGGGGTTTGGGCAGAGATGGAATTTGTGTCACTGTGGTGGGCCAGCTCTGAGTGCTCAGCAGAGTCTGTCCTTGCTGTTCCCAGGGGGGATCTCAGCATCTCCTCAGGCTCTAGAGCTTCTTGAGAGGATCTCACAGAACCATGGAGTGTCCTGAGCTGGAAGGGACCCACAGGGATCAAACCCAGCCCCTGGCCCTGCACAGACACCCCAACAATCCCAGCCTGTCCTGGAGCTCTGGCAGAGCTGTGCCCATTCCCTGGGCAGCCTGGGCAGTGCCAGCATCCTCTGGGGAAGAGCCTTTGCTGATCTCCAGCCCAAACCCCCCTGGGCCAGCCCCAGCCCTTCCCTGGTGCTGTCCCTGCTCACAGGCAGAGATCAGAGCTGCAGTCCCCAGTGAGGGCTCCCCTGTGGCTCCTCCAGACCCTGCACCCTTGGCAGAAGCCATGCTCCAAAGGAAAAAGTGATTTAACAAATGCTTTGGTTCCACCAGTGACCCCTGACTGTCCTGGCTGCTCCAGAGCTGCCTGTCCCAGCACATCAGGTGAAGTAATATCTTGAATTCTAGTAAGTGATAAAAGGAATTGCTGTCACTTACTGGAGCTCCAGAAGGAAGTTTGTGTGTGATGAGATGACAGCATTGTGCTGTCTGAAGGGAGGGTTTGGGAACAGAGATCAGGGAATGTCTGGGGTATTTAACCTGAGAAGTCAGGTACAAGTGAAGGTTAGAGCTTTGTTTGGTTTCCTTTAGCTTTATCTAAACAGCCAGAAGCAGCTGGGTCTGTGGTGCTGTGGCTGTGTGGCCCTTTCTCTTCCTCCT